TCTTCGGGCCACCATGCCGCTGCTCCGGTCCCTAGTGCTTCTTTTCATGCTGGGTATCCCTGGTGAGAATCTGGGGGGAGGGGAAGCCCCGTTTCTCACTCCTACCTGCACTCGAATGGTGGAATTCCAGCCCTTCTGGGAAAGGCTACTGTGGGGCACAGGATCTAGGGGAGAGCCAGGAAAGGGAAGGGTGTGATCCTCTGCCCTTTATTCCTCATCTCGGTCGCTCTCCCGCCCAAGTCTACGTAGTGAGCTAACCCGCACTTGAAGGGCCTTGGCTGCTTGCCCCCCCACTTCCGAAGGTTGCCTGAATGCAGCGGGGGAGGCAGGGTTCTGCGCATGCGTGTAAGACCCCGCCCCTCCGGCCTGCGGGGGCGGGGACCTGGCGCCTCCTTTCGCCTTTCGGCCCGCTCGGGAGGAGAGGCGGGGGTGGAGTTGGGACCTGGGTGGGATCCGACCCCAGCCCCTCAGCCCCACGACCTTCTGAGTGACCGAGCTGACCAGGCTTCTTCGCGGAGTGGCCCAGGACAGTTCTCTGCCCCGCGGCTGCCTCAGCTTGCCCGTCTGTCCCAGGGTAGAATAGCGGTTCCTCCGACCGAGGCTCCGTCAGCGACCGCGCGGGGGTCCCCGGGGGCGCCCACGTGCCGTCATTGCCGGGCAGTGAGCGTCCCGGGTGGTTGGGCCCCGCCTGAACCCCAGTCCATTGGACCTCGACAGTCGTTGGAAGGGAGGGGTGTGCAACCGGCCCTTGGGGGGTTCGGGGAAGGGAGGTTGCGGAACTTGGCTTTAACGTGAGGGAGGTCCCCGGCCCGGGACAAGCCCCGCCCACTCCGACGCACTTCTGGGCCGGCCTAGGCTGGGGCGCCCCCTGGTGGGGAGCGGGGGTTAGCCTCGCGTGCAGCCGCTGCACTGTCGGGTCGCATGAACACCGAGCACCGAGGATGGTCGGTGGGAGTGGGGCTGGGGTGGCACTCATCGGCCGGGATGGCCAGGGTGGGACTCCTGGAGGACTCCTGATGGGATGCTCACTTCAAGGGTCCCATCTACCTGGAGATTCAACAGATGCATCAGCAGAGAGGACACTAACGAAGGGGACCGTGGATAGCTAGCTTGGGGAGGGGGCTCTAAGAGGAGGTAGTCTTAAGGATGGGATCTGGGCGAACCACCATGCAGCAAACTGGAAGGAGGAGCATTTTAGGTGGAGAGACAGCCCGTGTAGAGACAGGAGTGAAGTTAGACAGCAGAGAAACCAAAGTCTTTGTGACTGATGGTTGAGGGACGGACAGGGGCGGGGTAGTTAACAAAACCAGCCTCCCTACACCCTTGGAGAGAAATGCGGGGTTTGTCTTGGGAGTTCAGGGGAGCACTGAGGTCTTCTGAGCAGGGAATGACCCGGCCCTGCCCCTGTTTAACTAATTCTGGCTGCTGCAGTTTCAACTCTGAATTCTTAATCCAGGCAAGGGAGAGGCTTGGCCTGGACCTTGAAGGAGCAGGTACAAGGAAGGGATCAGTCTGGGAAAGGTTTTGAACCTGAAATCAAGCTTGGCTAGATTTCTGGCCTGAACGACTGATCAGATGGCATGGCCAGGCACCAATCTGGGGAAAGACTAGGGAAGAATGAGTTTGTGGAGGAAAATAAAATCATCACTTGTACACTTGAGCAGTCTGCTAGACATTCTAGAGGGAATGCAGGGTTGGCTGCTGGGTGTGTGACTCTGGAGCTTGGGAAAGAGGCAAGCACTGGACCCATGGCTCTGGGAGATGAGAGGATATGAGTCAAGACCATAGGTTTCCACATTTCTTTGGCCTCCCACCCTCTTAAAAAAAAAAGTTACTCAGCACCCGGTGGCAATTAAAAACTTTTGTACACTAGCCCGTAATCCAGGACCTGCTTTGATGGCCCCTGGATTGTTCCACTTTAGGCAATCCCCCACCCATCACTTCCACCCGTATCACCCCCTTTGAGAGACACCGGGGCAGAGGAGGGCAGCAGCCGGGAAGGAGTCCCCAAACACTGCACTGTTAGGAGGTTGAAAAGATGAAGCCAAACCAGGAAAGGAGGTGGACAGGAGTGAGCCCGGAGAGGTGGGAGACCAGAGAGCATGCTCAGGGAAGTTTTGTGAACGGTGGGGCCAACCTGACTGGAGTCTATAGAGAAAAGAATAAAAGGTGAAGAATTGGGAAGTGTTAAGTGGAGTCATTAAAAAAAAGGACATATAACATAAATACAATAAATGGACAAATTTTAAAAGTTTCAAGGAACACTTGTGTTGCCGGGGTGAAGCACTCAGCTTCTAACCGAAAGGTCAGTGGTTCTGACCCACCAGTCACTCCCTGGACAAAAGATGAGGCCGTCTGCTTCTGTCAAGCTTACAGCCTTGGACCCCTCTGGGCAGATCTGTAGGGTGGCCGTGCGATGGGATTGGTGCCATGACGATGAGTTTGTTTTTTCGGGTTTCAGAAGCACAGCTTAGTACATGTTGAGATCCGTAGACCCCTGTAGGCTGCAGAATGCCCCCAGACCCTGAGAGGGCATCTGGTGTCCTCTCCTGTTGACCATCCCAGAGAGAACTGCTCTTTTTATTTCTACCCCAGGGGTTCCTTTGCCTTGTGGAGTGCAGACAACTTTTGTGAGATTGTGCTGGCGGCTGGACTCAGATTCCATGCACCAATTGATAGTGAGGGACTACCACACTGATTGTGTGATAGTGAGGGACAGCGAGGCGAGAGCTAGTGGTCACGCTCTGTGTTGAAGATAGCAGATCCCAGGCGCTGTCTTCCCGGGTGCTGTACTTTGCCGGCTCTGTCTTCAAGGACTGAGTGGTCAGGATTTTCCAAGCCTCTGTTTACCCATCTAAAGCTTTATCTTCCTTCTTTCACACCCACTAAAGTGGTGGTAATGGATGGATTGGGGGAATAGCAGGACATGGGATTGTCTGAGCCTCTCAGCTCCTGACTGGCAGCTCCAGCTCCGGTACAAGGCGTGGGCGGGGCTGGGATCTGGGCAACCCAGGAGTCATGCCTGCCCAACTGTGTCTAAGCAACTGACTTGGCAACTGGGTGGGTCCGACAAACACATCTAATCTTCCGGAGCCTCCTCCGTCGTGTCTTCGGGCCACCATGCCGCTGCTCCGGTCCCTAGTGCTTCTTTTCATGCTGGGTATCCCTGGTGAGAATATGGGTGGAGGGGAAGCCCCGTTTCTCACTCCTACCTGCACCCGAATGGTGGAATTCCAGCCCTTCTGGGAAAGGCTACTGTGGGGCACAGGATCTAGGGGAGAGCCAGGAAAGGGAAGGGTGTGATCCTCTGCCCTTTATTCCTCATCTCGGTCGCTCTCCCGCCCAAGTCTACGTAGTGAGCTAACCCGCACTTGAAGGGCCTTGGCTGCTTGCCCCCCCACTTCCGAAGGTTGCCTGAATGCAGCGGGGGAGGCAGGGTTCTGCGCATGCGTGTGCTTCTGGGGGCATGGTGGGGGTAGGGGGAAGGACTTTGGCCCGAATGATCTGCGCTCACAGACCTGCACGGCTTGCCCTGGTCCATGAATATCTCCGAGAGCCTGGGTCCTGGCTCGGACCTCCAGTCATTCTCCTTCAACTGCTCCTCCTTCACGCCCGTCCTGGAGCTGCTTTCCGTGAAGCCACCCACCACCTTCTTCAACCCGCCCAGTCTGACCAGGTGGCAAAGCACCTACTATGTGGGCAAGGTATGGCCATAGGCACAGCTGGGCACAGTGGGGACGGGACACAGGAGACCTGAAATTCCCAAAGTTGAGACTCCTGCCCACCACATAGCGCTGCCCACCTGCCACAGGTGACCCTCAGCAGCTCAGTCCGGCTGGATGCCCTCTCGGTGAACCACTACGAACTGCAGTTGCGATTCACATGTGGCACCCACGTGACGGAGGGCCCGCTGTTTTTGGATGTGCAGCGGGACCTCAGTCGTGTCCAGTGTGCTGGCCTGTTTGCCAGCCCAGGTGAGGCTGCGGGCAACAGGCCGGGGTGGGTAGGCCCAGCCTGAACAGAGCCCTCCCCCCAACCTCTCCTCTGGTCAGCTGAGGAAATCATTCAGGTGCGGGAGAGCGTCACCCCGGGAGCTCACCTGTACACACTACTGCTCCCAGGCCTGGAACTCCAGGGGCCCCAGGTGCAGGTGAGTCCAGCATAAGGGGCAGAGAAGAGTCAGTCGAGGGCAGCGGCAGGTAGGGGGTGGGGGGAAACAGGGAAACAGAGCTCAGGCCCTGCCTGCCTGAGCAACTCTTTGTGCACAGCTGAGCCTCAGTGGGACCCAGGCACCCTCCAGACCCTGCCTGTGTCAACAGGGACGTCTCAGAAGTTGAGCTCTGTCAAGTCCTCTTGCATGTTCCGAGTGTTCTGTGACAATTCTGTATCACCTGTATTACCCCTCCCCCCCCAAATGTAGCTTAAAACACACACAAGAGAATTGGTGTAAAAGCAGAGAGGCCAAGGGCTAGGTGCCACGAGGAGAGTTCAGGTTCAGCGGAGGGCCAATGAGGGAGCACAAGTGAGCTGGGTGGGACAGGTACCTGCCAGGTTGGTGGAGGATTGGGACAGGTGCGCGTGGGTGGGGCCTTCAGCATCTCTGTTCTGTCAGATGAGCATCATTAGCGCCCAGGACCCTCCACACTTCCCTGGGTCTTTCACCATCAACAATCAGGGATGGTTGCAGGCGCCCTCCCAGGGCCTCAAAGGCCAGGCTGGAAAGGTGAGCAAGACCTGGGACCTGGGGCATACCCCTGGGCGGGGCATATGATGGGCAGGGACTCCACCTCCTGGAGGTTGGTTTGTGCATGGCATTTTCAACTATACTGCCTCCTCCAGACCTGGCCTGTGCTGCGCACCTGCTGGCCCCACCATGGGCTGCTATGGAATCCAGAAAGAGGGGGCCCCTGCTTCTTGGAGCTCGCAGTGGCTCTAAGGCAGAGGTTCTCAACCTTCCTCATGCCTCGACCCTTTAACACAGTTCCTCATGTTGTGATGAGCCCCCAACCATGACATTATTTTCGTTGCTACTTCATCGCTTGAAGTGTGCTACTGTAATGTAAATATTTGATATGCAGGAGGTATTAGGCAACCCCTGTGAAAAGGTCAAATGGGTCAGGACCCACAGGTTGAGAACTGCTGCTCTAAGAGCAACGGGAGTGTTTAGGGCAGGCATAGAAAGAGACTGCTCCGGGCACAGTGGCCCTGTGGAAGAGGTGCAAAGGTCCTTCCTTAAAATTTCTCTTGGTGACTGGCTGCTAGCAACCCCAAGATATGAATGCATGGTGTTAAGGCCTCAGGTTATCACTCTAGGGCTCTTACTCTCCTAAGAGATGGTCCGGGCCAAAAGAACGGGGCTTAAAAGAACACGTGTTAAAGAGTAATTGGTCAAGGGGATGGATGGTGAGGGTCTGGGGGTCTTGAGTCAGGGAGTGGACACCAGCATACAGAAGGACCCCCACCCCCACGGCTCCCGGTCTGTTCTGTGTACACCATAGGACTTCCCTCTGCGGATCTCCGTGACCTTTGGACAAGGCCGGAACTGCCAAGGGATGCTGACAGTGAAGGTGTTGCCGGTTCCCTCCAGTCAGGTCTCCTTTCCGTAAGGTTCCTCGACCCTGGGAACAGTGGATGGGGCCAGACCTGACCCCAGGATAAGGGGAAGGGTATGGGCAAGGACAGGTCTACCAGGTGGGAGCCAGTGAGTCCCTTTGGCCCAGGGAACAGCCACGGAACATCACCATCCCCGAGACGCAAGGCCCCGGAAGTGAAGTGGCTCGGGTCTGGGCCCATGGCTTCCATGTGCGCTATGAAATCGTTTCCCCGGTGCCCTGTCCCCGCTTCTCCATCGGATATGGTGAGGGTCAGGAGGGTCTAGAGGGGGGAGACGGGGATGCCTCTGCGCTCTGTGGCTGGGTCAGACCCAGGATGGCATAGGTCGGGTTTTCAGGCCTGGCCAATACAGCCAAGCTCAGTGGCCTCCCTGCTCTGCTGACCTGGTGGGGCACCGGGAGAGGGCTGAGCAGAGGGGCAGGGGTCAGGACTCTGAGTCCCCCAGCCTCACCCTGCCCAGCGGATGGAGCCATCCGGCTGACCGCACCCCTGGAGTTGGCTCGGGATCCAGGCGCAGCGGTCACCAGGCTGCAGGTGAAGGCCTTCCAGCGACAGTGGCCGTGGGCCAGCGCCGAGCTCGACCTCAGCATCTCGGTGCAGGCGGTAAACCGCTGGCCCCCGCGCTGCCTCCCGGCGCTGCTAGTGTAAGTGCCTGTCTGGGAGCTTTACCTACCAGGGCTTCGGGAGGAAGACTAGGGCTCATGGGCCTCGCTGAGCCCTGCCCATCTCTGCTGCCCACCCTCTACTCCTAGGACTCAAATCCCAGAGACTGCTTCTGTGGGCACCGTGCTAGACACCTTCACCTGTACTGACCCCGACTCACCCGGTGCTGCCCTCAACTATCAGCTGTGGGTCCACAGCCCTCGGGACCCGGCCAGCCTCTGCCTTCAAGACAGGGTCCTGGAGGTGCCCAGCTCCCACCCCCAGACCAACATGCAGGGTGCTTGATGCAAGAAGGGGTCAGGGCTTGTAGAAGTCTAGGGGCAGCGGCAGTAGGGGCAGGGGGAGTGGTGGTGCAGTGAACTGGACGCAGCCAGTGCTCCGGGCCTTACTCTCTAGCTCCTCTGGCCAGGTGAACACAACGCTGGACTGTGACAGCCCCGGGCCCTGTTTCCAGCTTAGCGCCTCCATTCTAGTGCTTGATGATGGACAGCCTCCAATGACCAGTGAGTGGCCCTCCTAGACTGGACCGTGCTACCTTGGACAAAACCCCTGCCGGAAATCCAGGACAGGATCATATTACCCTGTCCCGGCCCCTGAACCCCCTTGCAGATGATCAGGACCAGGGAAACCCCAAACTCCGTGCCAGCAAGTTAGCCTGCTTCCAGGCCCCTGGGGTGAGGGGGTGGGCATAGCCCCTTCCTTGGACTCACGAGAGGAGAGAGCTGTAGCCCAGCCCCTCTTAGGTCTCTAGGGTGGGGCTGGGGACAAAGGGTCACTTCCTTGATTGGCTCATGTCTCACAGCTGAGATACCAGTGGTGGTGACGGTGACACCCATCAATGAGTTCTCTCCAACCTGTGCCCCAAGTATCCTCCGAGTTCGTGAGAATGCAAGGCCCCACACGCTCCTGGGCTCCGTGGTGGGCACGGATATGGATTACCCGCATGGGAACATTGAGTACGACGCCTCCGGTGGGCCTGCTGTCTTTACTGTGGACCGTCGCAATGGTACGCTCATCCCAGGGCCGGCGTGGACGGGTGGGCCTGAGGCGGCTCTGCAGGCTGAGGCCATGGCTGCTCCTTCTAGGGGAGGTCCGCCTCCTGGGGCCTCTGGACTATGAGAGGCAGAGGTTGTACAGGCTTACAGTCCAGGTGCTTGACCATGACCAAGACCAGGACCCCACCAACCACCACACTGGCTCCTGCACCATTACTATCGAAGTGGAGGTAATTGACCTCGAGACCCTTGGAGGGAATCAGAAAGACTAGGCTTTCCTAGCTGTTTTTTCTACTCTATCCCTCCGTTGTATCGGTTGGTCCACTGGAGAGGGGTAGGCCTTCCCTGCGGCAAGCTCTGGTCTCTGGTGGTGGTGGGAGGGAGTTGAGGGGTGGCCCGGTGATTTGTGGAGTGGGCTCCCTTACCCCTGCCTGGCTGCCGTTTTGCAGGACGTGAATGACCATGCACCCGAGTGTGAGCCCCCATTCCAAGAACTCACCATCCACGCATTTCACGGTCAGAGTGTGGAAGTGACCAAGGTGTCATGCCGGATCCCCCAGGAACCTCAGCGCCTGGCCTTCTCCTATAACATTGTGGGAGGTAAGGGCCACCAGGCCCACTAGGCCAGCGGTTCTCAACCTGTTGGTCGTGAGCCCTTTGGGGGTTGAACGACCCTTTCACAGAGGTCGCCCACTTCATCACAGTAGCAAAATGACAGTGCTGAAGTAACAACGAAAATAATGTTATGGTTGGGGGCGGGGTCACCACAACATAACACACTGTCTGAAAGGGTCGAAGCATGGGGAAGGTTGAGAACCACTATACTAGGCTATGGAGAAAGGCCAGGAATGGCCCCCTCCTCTTGTTACTCTGCTTGCAGGGAATAGCCAGAGCCGATTCAGCCTGCAAGGGGCTGTCCTGGTGCACAGCGGTGTCGTGTCGGGCGCCCCCTGGTCACCGCAGCCCCGTACCTACGAGCTGTTGATCCGTGTAGCCGATGCAGGTCCCACTGCCCCCCACCTTAGCACCACAGCGACTGTCATTGTGCATCTGGTGCCCTGGAGGGCCAGCACAGTGGCTCCCAGCACGCGCAGAGCCACAGTGAGCACAGCCCTCCTGCCCCGGGATGGGGTGGGGTGGGGGGAAAGGAACACGGAGGCTGAGAGAAGACCCAGTTTCTCAGACATTGAAGAGGGAAGCATCGGTCCAGAGACCCTGTGAATACAGACAAATGGATCTGCGGCATAGCATGGCCCACCCCATGGAGGAGTCGGACCAGTGTGGGGTCTGGATGTTTGGTGGGGGCAGCATTGAGGTTGAGACTTCCATTTCAGCTTACTTCGATGACCCCCCTGCTTGTGACCGACACAGAGGCTTTCTGGCAGCCGGAGGCCTGGTTTGTGGTGGTGCTGACTGTGACTGGCGCTCTTCTCCTCTTGGCTCTGGGCTGGCTCCTCAGCAGGCTCCTCAGAAGGTAGGGCTCCTTACCGTGTACCTCCTGTGAACCCTGCCTGTGGCTAGATGGTTTCACCCAAGGAGATTTGGTGACGATGTCCCAGTTGATGGTGTTGGCAAACTGATCCTATTGAGGAGGGCTACCTTCCCTCTGAGATCTTCAGGATTAGTGTCAGAGCGGCACTGGGAGGCACCTCTCGGCCCAGGTGTGTATTCACTTCTATGCATGGTGTCTGACCCCTACTTGAAACCCGCCCTGTCCCTGGAGACTCTAGCGTTCCTGTGGGCACAGGGTTGAGACCAGGGGAAGGTGGGGTGCAAAGATGGGCATCAATCACATTGGGTGTCTCCAATAGAAAGAGGCAAGTGAGTGATGCCCATTCCTGGAAGTTCTAGGCCCATTGCCCTCACTGCCTGGTCCCTCCTCCTGGCATTGTAGGGCGGCCCAGGGGTTTCAGATGCCCAAGAAACCAGCCCAGGGTCTGCTACCGAACAGGTCAGCTGCACTGATTCTTACTCACCTCAGCCCCTGAGAGCCCTTGAACTCATTCTGGGAGCCAGTAGCTTACCCTGTGCTCTTGCTCCTACTGTGTCCCAGTGTCCGGAGAACTGAAGGTCCCACCGAGGGGCTCATGGAGTCACCGAGGATGGAGATGCCCCAGGGACCCAACAGCATCACGAGCCTGGTATGGCAACCCATGGTGGTGGTTCCCATGGCGCACCCACCCCAGGGCTCTCAGGGTGGAGGGGGCAGGTGGGATCCCTGGATCCTTAGGGGCTAGGTCAAAGGCCACCTGGCGGTACCTTTTCCTTCTTCCTTTCAGCAGGCTTTTGATGGCAGAGCACAGGACCCCTGTAAGTCAGCCTTTTCCCAAATTGAACTATTCTTTACCTGGGCCCACCTCCCCTCTGCATCCTGCCTGTCTTCCTATCTCCTTCCACCACCACCACGCGTCTTTCCTGGAATAGGGCCTGCTCTCCCTGGCACGCTTCAACTAGTGACCCCTCTCCCCCACTGTACCCCACAGCCTGTGTGTGTTAGACCCCTGTGGTACAAGCAGATGCTCCAGACCCGGTCTAGCTCCTGCCCACGGGGAAGGCAGCATAAAGGGAGGGGCCCCCGTTAATGAATGTTGGCACAGTGATACGTAACATATAGAATCTGAGCCAGGCCTCAGAACTTACTGAGATACAAAGGGCGGAAGGGGAACAAGTTGGGGCCTCGTTCAGGGGGGAGGGTCACACCAAGGGTCCTGAACCCCCTGCCCCCTGCGTTGAATGGAAGGGGCCAGCTGTGCTGAGCCCGTGTTTGCTCTTTCTTTCTCGTCACCACCGGGGCTCAGGTACGGGCAGAGATTACCTGTTCAACACACGCACCGGGGCCTGGCACTGGCTCTGAGGTCAAAGAGCTGCCCCACTCGCAACGGAATTGCTTCTTCACGCGGTCAGGGGCTGGGGGTTTCAATAAAATGGCAGAGAGAGAAGTCTCGGCCTGATGGTGCACATGAGGGAGAGGCCCAGCTCTGGGATTCCTTTTTCTTGCGTGGAGAATGCCCTCCCTGTGGGCACACTGGGGTAGGGGTAGGGGTATTTTCCTTTGGAGGAGGCATTAGATGGGACTCTGATTGATGTTTCATGGAAGTGGCTGTGACCCTGGTCAGTGACTGAGGAGGGGGGAGGCCCCTCCAGCAACCTGTCCCCTCAGAAGCCACCTCCTCAGGCAGACAGGGAGAGCAGTGGGGTTTCTTGTTCTCTCCGAGTGGCGGACAGTGTTACCATTTGAACAACTTCCCGGGAACCTGCTAACAGTGTGGATTTTCTCAGGAAGGATCTGGAACGTATGCATTAAGACCCGAGTGGTGTAGACTTGGAAATCCTGTGGCAGGGCTGGCTGGCTCTGGAGAGGCTGGTGACATTCCTTTCTGAGGGAATGTTCTCATGTCGTCCCCATCTGTTCTTGTTACCGAGCCCTTGAAGCTTCCGGTATCCAGCTGAGCTGTTGGGCAGGGCCAAGTCGCCTTTAGAAACCAAGTCCCACCGAGCAACACACCCAGTCACACCTCAGGTCTCTTAGTACTGCCAGCCCTCCGGGAGGCCCTGTTCTTTCGGAAGAGGCTACCTTTAACCTCAGATTGGGACCCAGCGGTCTTTTCTGTGGTGTCCCTGCGTTCTTTCAGTCTAGTCAAGTGTGTGGGCTGCCTGAACCTTTGCAGGGGACAGGGCACTCGGAGACCTGGGCTTCCTGAGCCAATTACAGGATTACGGGCCGTGGAGTCACAGGGCCTGCAAGTGGGGGTAGGGTGGTATAGAAGCCAAGTCTCTTTTGGGGGAGGAAAAACATGCCTCCCAGGGCTGTTCCTAAATTGCGGGCCTCCGGGACAATCATTCGGGGGAGCATGCTGTGACAGGAAGCCTGTTACAGGAGTACAGTGGCAGACAGACGTTATTTTTTAATTATTTTATTGGGGGGCTCTTACAAATCTTCCAACAACCCATCATTCAATAGTATCAAGCACTCTTGTGCAAAGGTTGCCATCAACATTTCCCAATTTCTACTTGAGCCCTTGGTATCAGCTCCCCCTCCTCCCCCACCCTTGTGAATCCTTGATCAATTATATATTATCCTCATTGTTATTTTGTATCTTACACTGTCCGCTGTCTTCCTTCACTCATCTTTCTATTATTCATCCCCCTGGGGGGTGGGGAGGTGGTCCTATGGGCCTCCCCACCCTGCAGACAGACTTTTCCTGGTCACTCACTCACCCTGCTCTAAGGGCTCCTTAAATCGTTACCTAAGGGGCTAAGACTCCAAATTCGCTGAGCCAGCTTGTCAGACAGGGTACCCGGATGTGAACCTTGTGGCGCGGCCATATCCAGGCTCCCAATCCAAGGGTTCCGTGTGGGGGACCGGGGACAAGTGGACCCCAGGACTCCAGGCGGGCTGCCCGCCCGCGAGGAGGCAGATGGTGACAGTGCGGTGCCCAGTATGCTGTCACAGGGACGCAGATGCTCCAAGGCAGGGAAGCGTGCCTGCTGGGTACCAGGCTTGCTCTGGGGCCAGAGCCCGAGGAGGAGGCGGCGGAAGTCACCGCGTGGGTCAGGAGCCGGGGGCTGCTGGGGACAGCACAGAAGGCCGCGCCTGGGGGCTGGTGATGAGGAAGTCGCTGGAAGAAGGGCGTTATAGTCTGGAGCCCGGAGGCGCAGGTAGTGTGACCTTGGCCCGGTCTTCCCACTCTGCGCCTCAGTTTCCTCACCATTGAACAAGAGGCAAGAACCCGCCATCCACGGCAGGGGTTTAAAAAAAAAGAGAGAAAGAAAAAGAAAATACAGGTAGCACACGGAGGGCAGTTCCTAGTACGTGCACGTGTGTGAAAACACGCCGCGGGCTGGGAACAGGGAAGGCGCACGCGGAGGCGCCAAGGGCGCTAGGGCCTCGGAGTCGCGGGCCTGAGCTCCGCAGCCAGCAGGCCGGCGACTCGGAGCGCGGCGCGCACGCGCCAACCCGTGCCGCCGTCACAGTCACGTGTCTCGGGCGTTCGGCACGGGTCGAGGGGGCCAGGCTCTGACTGACAGCCCGATTGGCCTTTCAGCGGGAAGCACTCTTCAGGGCGGCAGGCGCAGAGGCCGTTGATTGGGGACGGCCTAAGCGAGGGGCGGGTTCTTTGCTGTCCTGGTTGCTATGACGCCCGGCCCCCGCCCCCTCGGCTGGCCGCCATCTTGTTGTTGATCCGTACCCCGTGAGCAGCGCCGGGAGCTGGAAGGAGCCGCCGGTGAGGGGCCGCTGCTGCGGGGCTCAGCCACCCGCGCTGCCTGCCAGGGGCGGG